CTTCACATAATTAAGACACTTAATTCAAGAAAATTTTCTGATCAAATCACAGAGAAATGCAGCAAAGCAAAGCAGATTACCAGAGCTCTTGCCAGCGAACACTTTAGTTTACTGACCCAGGCATCTCCAAGTACTTCCTGCAGGCTGCTGCACCACACAGTGTCCTACCAGTACTGTAAACAACTGAACTGTTCCTTCCATTTGGATAAAACATATTCCAAAAACAAAGTCATGAAGGCTTCTGCTCTCCGGACACGCTGTAGCCAGCAGAAGTGGCGTGTAACAGACGTCAGGAAGCAGGGAGAAGGAACATACTCGGCATTCCAGCCCCCAGAGCTCTCTGCTGGGAACTGAACAGGGCCTTCAAACAGGAGCTCACCCTTTCTAGCACTCCCCCTGTCCACCCACCACTGCAAGAGAGAAAGAGGATCACACTGCACAGACACCTCGGGCCTGGTGTAGGGATTGGGAAGAGTAAAACCTGAGAACACAGAAGTCAGTTTTTGAGAGAATAAAGGGAAAGGAGTGGAGGACGTGAGCAATGGAGTCAGTGTAATTTGTTCAGCATCACCATGAAAAAACATCTTAAGAGTCATTACCAACAAATTCCTTTTTAGTAAATTGTAAAAAAAAAAAAAGGATTTTTGTAGCATGAGCATGAAATACATAGCATGACTATGGCTTGGCAAGCTACAGAGGAAAAAAAAGACAGGAGTGATGACTTCACGAGTTCTAAATCAATATTAACCAGCAGATATCCCTTCTGACAAAAAAGAGAAACAGAAGGGTTCTGCCCAGCAGAACAGGCACAAATAAAGAACAACATACTTTCGAAACCACAAATTAGCAACCTCAGAATCTATAATTCACCCTACATGTCACTGGGAGTTTCAGCTCCTGACCTGACAGGAATCTGCCACTATAATTTCTTTCAGATTGTAAGTGTGGTTTATCCATTTCTATTTTATGATGTAAATGGAACAGAAGAAAAATGTCCTCCATACTGGGTGTTAGGCTGAGCTTTTAAATTTTAGAGCAATAAACCGCTTTTAAAATGTAAAATTAAATCACCTTTTTACTTTTTATTAAATCACCACAACATTAATCTCCCTTAACCTTCAGCAATCTGGCTAAAAACCTCTTTCTCTCTCAAACACCTAAACTTTTACTGTTCTGACTCATATGACATGATTTTAGTGGTCTTCAAATGACCATTCTTCCACAGGAAGTATGACTCTTCTTCAAGAGGGAAGATGAGGGGATTAGAGAAAAAACCCCATCACAACAATAAATATCCTGTCTTCCCATCCCTCAGCACAACCTCACTCCCACGCTTCTCTCTTGCCACCTCATACATAAAGAGTGAAAAGGCACAGGTTTGTTTTTCTCTCCCTCTTGGCAGATCGGTTTTAAGAGACTAGACTGATGACAAAATCTTACACGTGGTTACTCTCTGGGCCAAAGCAGAGAAAAATGCAGCTAGACTTCTTTCAGGCATTAACAAGTGGTTCCTCCTTGGAGAAGCACCTCTATGGCCTCAGAACAGACTAAGGACTTTCCAACAAGATAAAATCTATCTAGAGAGCCACAGAGAGCAGATTTAGACGGAAAGACAAGATTAAAACCACATTTTCAACCCAGAAGAGCAGAAATGGCTGCTTCTAACTCAGAGAGATGAGACATCTTCTATTTGATGCAGGTACTTTCTACTCAGCACCAAGAACCTTTCTTAGTTTTACCACCCATTATACTCCCTCCTCCTCTTCTAAACACTTTTACTTGCAACTGTTTCATGAAATGGAGCACATGCACAGCAGCAGCAGCTCTCTACTCAAAAAGCATCTAGTCAGCTAGCCTAATTAAAAATAATATACCCTTATTTCTTACCTCCACTGGATTAGGAACAATCAATAAGTGTATCTGTCAATGCAGCTGCTCTTCTTTTGTTGACTACAGGAAGTACATAGGCGTATCCATATCCCAATTTAACCAAGTATAGTGATAATAAAAGTTTCTTACAAAAATAATTATGCTCTGAGACGTGCATTTAGGAAAAATGTTTTTCTTGAGCTTTGTATTAATTTCTAAAGGCAATACAACGGCCCAGGCATATTTTACTTTTGTGTTTTCTAATCAACACCACAGCAGCAAAGTCTTAAAAGAAACTCTCTTCCATTCTGGTTTAGTTTCTACTTTGGGCATTGGACAATGTTTTGCTCACTGGTTATTCACAGATGGTCTTCCTTAGGAACAAATCCATCACAAAGACAAAGAAAAAACCCCGAACTATTAAATGAAAAAAAAAACCAAACAAAAAAACAACAAACAAAGAAAAAGAACCAACCCCACCCCAAACTCCAACAATCCTCAAAAATGCAAAAGTCAAAATGAACAGATGGACCAAATACATCAAATAGAAATTCTAGAAGCAGTCTTCCCTTATTTATGAGTAAGGAAGGACCACGGTAAACTTCTAAAGGCACCAAAAATCACACCAATTGTATTTCTCAACACTGCAAAACACAGAAAGGCCGCTTAGAAACAAACTGGTTTTACATCTAACGTGCCATCTCCTATACAGAGTTTATTTCCAAATGTAGTTAAACAACATGTAAAGTCATAAAACCACAATGTGTGACCAGCAGGTTGAGGGAGGTGGTTCTCCTCCTCTACTCCACTAATAGCCTAACCCAGACCTGGCAGTCACAGTTACTATTTGCAAATTCCAATTACCTAGTTATCACTTTTCTCTGACAGAACACAGTCCTCACACTCTAACAGTCTAACTCGTAATATATGTAAGATTTGAATTTCATTTGCTAAATAGTCACCTAATTTTAATAATTTTCTACTATGAATACACAGGAGTGCACATCTTTTTTTTTTCCCCCTGGAGTTATATTTTTCCCTAATGCTAAAAATCAATAAATCAAATTACTGCATCTATTTAAATTTCCTCTGCAGCTGAATGGGACAGAACACAACGAAAATTGAGTTGTTTTTCATTTATTTTAATTACCATTAATGCATCAGTAATCAGAGCATCTAGAAGAGAGTCCTTTTGTATTTTTACTTGACAAGAAAGGTGAAATGAAAAAGAATATTGTTTGAACACCTCGTGTTTTCCAGTCTTGCTCACTTTAACACACTGTGAAACATCAGTCATTCCCTTCCCTCTGTCAAGTTTCAAGACCATTTATATCCTGTTCCTGGCTGGGGAAGGTTCCCACACTGTGGGGGTGCTCCTGCCATACAGGTCTCATTTTGCTGGGAAGCTGCCACCCAAAATGGATGATACCATTAACAGGGAAACAGCTGTGACAAACATCTTGGACAGAACAGTTAATTGTTCTGTCCTGGGAACAACAGCAGACAGAACTTTAGAAATGTTCATAGCTGACAAACTTCCCAGGACAAACATTTCTGAAAACGTTAAATAACACTCGCCTTCACTTTTCACAAGCTAAAGCCAAGCCTGCTCATTTTAACAACCCTCTAAATACACCCAAGGAAAAGGAGAGAGAAATCCTGCATTGCTTTGAACTGCACACTCTGCAGTGTCTCAACCTTGGAACTCCCCACTCAGCCTCACACAGCTTCATGTCAGACCTTCTCACTGAATGGTGTTGCATTTTTACAGGCAGGTTTCAGAGGAAGCATGGAGAGAAGACAGGGATTACTGCCCAGCATTTCCCACTGTCCTCCTCAGCTGAGTGATTTCACCTGAGGTAAAACCTGTCATTCTAAACAGTACGACACCACGGTTCTGTAAAAATAAAATCAGCTGGGTTCATACAGCCACAGTTCTTCCCAGGTCCTCTCTTTCTGTCTCCATTTAGAAGCTGGATAGGTACCCACGACTTGTGAACATTTAAGACTCTTGAGTCTGCCTCAAGTTGTAAGGAAATGAATGTAAGCTTGTAAATACAAATCTATTTCACACGTCAGAAAAAGAAAAAAAGGAACCATTAAAGACAAGAGGCAAAAACCAGAAGTGTTTTGACGATGTACAATCACCCAACAGCACCAATTTGTCATCACAGAGAGCAAAAATTAACACCCACCTAAATCACAGATAAGCATATAGAATTATTCAGCATGTTTTCATACCCAACAACCTACCAATCGGGAATTATCAACTTATCATAAGATGCATAATACAAACATCAACACATCACACAAAAGAAAAGTGAATACTTATACACAAACTACTGTGGATCCATTTCAGTATTCCTAGTCATGAAGAACAATGCTTCAGGATTACAATAATGACAGTAAGATTCGGGAGGACGAGTGTCCTGAAAAGGGCACCCTACTAATTTTAGTATTACTTTTTCATGCTTCTCATCTCCAAGACATTTAACAAAAGCAAGCTTATTTTCACAAACTGCTTTGTAACGTCTGGATTTTATTTGACAGATGGGAGAACAAAGGGACACTAAAGCACTTGTGCAAACCCTCGCAAAATACTAGTAAATGCTTTTCCTGCTGTTTTCCTCATTTATATCCATCAATTAGGTGACTTTACAGAGTTCTCCACTATCAGACAGCACAGGTGGAGAATCAAGCTCCGGAGTTAAACAGCTCTTGGAACACGTTAACCCCGAGGGCAGCTCGAAGGAGAAGCGAGTGCCTGTGTGGGCAGAGGGGCTGCGTGTGGACGGGTCTGTGGGGGCCGCGGTGCCGCGAGCCCCGGTCCCGCCATGCGGCCGCACAGACCGGGCTGCTGGGCGGGCACCGCTCGCACCTCCGGCTGCTGCCTCCCAGCTCTGCTGCCGGTCCTCCCACCGCCCCCCGCCGTGTCCCCGGACAGCCGGGTGAGGCACAGCAGGGCAGCCCTGCGGGCCCCGCTCCGCCCGAGCCTCACGGCAGCGAAGCGTCCTCCCCCTCGCCCTCCCCGCCGGACGCACCACGGCGTTACCCAGGGCGAGCAGGAGCTGCTCCCGACCCTTCCCCGCCTGCCCAGGGGCTCCCCGGGGCTCCCCCCTGCCCGGCCTTACCTGCCCGTCATGGCTGCGGGGCTGAGGGGCCGCGGGCTGGGACCCCTCTTCGGCTCGGCCGCTGCGGCCCCGGCGGGCAGCGCTAACCCCGCCCCGGCCCGGGCTCCTGAGGCGTGGGCGGGCGCCGCGGCCCGCGGTGACTCAGGGCAGCCCGCCCGGGCCCGCGCATGCTTTTCCTATAAAGGGAAAAAAATACGGAATAAAGAGGCGGCGGAGCGGGGGGGGGGCGCAGCCGGGGCACGCCGCTTGCCCCTGCTCCCGCCCCGCCGCCGGAGCCGCTTCGCCCCACCGGGCAGTGAGCAGAGAGCGGCTACTGCGAGCCTGTCCCGGAGAGGGGCGACGCTGGCCGAGCCGCTACCTGGTGTGCGGTTATGTCTGACACACCTCCCTGAGGTGACTTTTTGTTCCTGCGATCAAAGCAGCCGCGCTCCCAGCCCGCCGGACAGGCTGGAGCGCTCCCCGCGCATCCCCGCAGGGGGAGTTTTACCCTCAGGGCAGCAGAAGGCACCTCTGGAAGGCTCCTACAAAGTGGTGATGGCAGCCGTTGCTGCCGAAGGATGAGGGATCGCGTTCCCTATGAGGGACACCTCCAAGTGCGACGTTTTTCGAAACATCTAAGCCCTTCTTGCCTGTGATCAGATGTTCTGTGACATACTGTATCAATGCTAAGGTGATCCACCAAATGGGATGGGGAGCTTCTGCCCAAAAGCAATTTCAAGCGTTGTTTTCGTCTTATGAGGTAGCCTGCTATGATGTGACTCACCATTGCTACATATATTGTTGCAGCTTGGGACTGATGATGGAAATCTGTGCTCTCTGTGTTTCTCGGCGTCCAAACATCTCATTTTTCAGCCCTGCAGTAAATATTTAGAATTGTACAGGTTAAATTAGCATTTGATGGGTTTATTACTTACTTAAATCAGCGTGAAGAATTGAGTTGGAGGGGTTTATTTTAGTTTAACTTTTGGCTGAGGAAAGAGTAATAGATAATAAGTAACCAGCAACTCAACAGATTTGGCTGAGGGCAACAGCAACAGACAAGCTCTTAGTCATTCTCTGCATCCCTATTCTCTCCCGTCATAATGGTTTCTGAGTGCCATCATGTCATGTCTTTACGCCTGCAGTTCTCCTTTAGAGAGAAGCACAGATTACTGGGATTGGATGTGCAAAGGAGACTCCAGGTGTTTCCAAGGGTGCTGGGAGGAGCACGGCACATGGCAGCACTAGGGCTCAAGCCACCTCCCAGCCACTGGGCCATCAGCACAGCCAATCCTTCCTCTCGCCCCCTGTGTCCAGTGGGGCTACTGTCAGCTGTATCGATCTCAAATACCATCTTTCTCTTACCAGTCTGGCAGAGACTGACTTGTCTCCCAGGCAGGGCTTGTCTGCAAAACACACATCCCAGGGATGGGAACCCAGTGATGGGCACTGGGATGCCTGGGCAGCTCTCGGATGGGCATGGATAAAGGTCTGCCTGCAGTGCCTCCACCATGGGCTGCTCTGAAGAGGCGCCATGAGATGCTTCACCCCAGATGGACCCCAACACCCCAAAAATACCCGAAGAAACCAGCTGGCACTAGAGAATGTTGGCACATTGTGTTTGCAGAGGAGCACAGACAGCAATTCCCAGTGCCAACCTCCCAGAGCTGCCACACAACCCCATGTGTGTTCCTGCCCACCCCAAATCTCTGCCCTTCCAGCCTGAGAACATCATCCATCATCAGCATTAAAGCCAAGGGAATCTTCCATCACAGAAATTAAATCCCAACCAATAGCCCCCAGAAATACCTTAAAATAAAAGGTTTTAGTTGGAAGAAGTTTCATTTGTATTAAGTTTGGAGTTTTTCCAAACCAGAACTGCAGAACCCATGGAAAGCTTTAACAGGTGGGCCAGACCTGAGATGCCCTGAAGGCAGGTGTGTGCATCCCTTTCCTCAGGGAAATGAACTTCCAGAGGCCACTCCTGAGGCTCTGAAATGAAACTGCCTTCCTGCACAGAGAGACGTCCTCACCTGTGCTCAGGTGCTGCCTCACCACAGGCCGGGAGCGTGTCCGGCCACCCCCTTCTCCTGGGCGAACACATCCCTGGAGCCCAACCTTGGGAGGGGGGGAAATTGGCTGAATTCCAGGGAACTCAGTAAAGTTACCCACAGGGACATCAGTGGGGCTGGGGGACAAGGTTATAAATAGCAAATTCTATGGAATATAAACCTGTCCTTGTCCCAGTGCTGCTGAGTTTCCTTGGAACCTTGCATGGTTCCTGACAAACCTGGTGTTAGATCGGCAGCTCTGCATGGGAATATACGGGCTCCATGAGGTGCTGTGAGGCTATTCCAGCAGGAATTCATCATGGAGTTCCGGGCTATAGGTAGAATTCATCTAAACCAGCAAAGCTGATACTGAAACCCGCAGAGAACAATCTTTGTGCTTCTGTGTCAGTGAAAGCTCCTGGGTTGGGAAATTTTGGCAGTCAAATGTGTGGAATTCTATACATTACAGCAACCAGCATGACCCAAGGGGATAATCCAAGTCCCAAACAACTTCTTTTGCCTCTCCATAGTGACAGTGCCCCTTATTTGGCTCTGTATTCTCACGGTTCATTTTGGAGTAGCGGTTTGTGCTGGTTTAGATTCCACGACTCCACCCACAGTGTGAAAACGTGGGGTTGTGCTTCTCTACTTCCAGCAGGTTCCCAGATACTCCCATAATCCCTTTTTTTTTTACTCTTTAGGTGAATTCTGCACAATCCAGTCACCCATTCCCTATCCAGGGTGTAAGTGCTCGTGTCTGTTGCACAGTTGGCTCCGGCTGGGCGGGAACTGAGAGTAGGAGGCACAGGAGAGCAGATCAGCTCCACAGGGAATCTCCAGGAGATGAAGCTCCTGGAATATAATTTCCATCAGTTAAAAACATTCTTTTCCTCGTGAAGCCTGTGAGATAGGAGGATGTTCCTATCCTCACACCAATGACTCAGGTGTGATAACTCCCCTCCGGGGAGTCATTAAGCATCTCCACACCCAGCCTGAGGGGTCATGTCTGCTAATGGGCCACCAAGGATTCCAAAAATATCTCATGACTCACAATCACCCACTGTGGAACTCCCCGCCCTGGGGGAGGCACTGGGCATTCCCACTCGAACCTGAGTGTATATAATCTTGGGGTCTTGTGACTTCTGGGCCCACTTGTGGGATCCAGAGGAGGACCAGAACCTCGACTGGACTGCGACCACCACCCTCAACGGGACTGCAGTTGCCACCCTCGACCGGACTGTGACCAGCACTCTCACCAAAAGGTTTTCCTTTTACTTTAGACTCAGGGGGACCACGTGGGGCTCTGCACGGGGGGCCAACGAACACCACTCTGTTCGTGCCCCAGGGTGCTGGGTTATACATCTGGGTTTTGTGGGTTAAAACCAATTGTTTGTCCACATAATTGTATTTATTGTATGATTTTTATTAAATTGTAACTCTGACATAATCTCTTTTGAGTTGGGTTCATTTCTCCTGCCGGTTTACCTTTAAACCAGCACACTCATAATTCCCCAAGATTTACATTAAATTAGAGACCAGCACAGACCTGTTCCATGGGAATGCTCCACTTCTCTTCCACTGATCATTTCATATCATGGAATCCCAAAATGGTTTGGGTTGGAAGGGACTCTTAAG